TGTCCTGTCTTAAGTCACAGGATACTAGATACTACTCCTGGAACCAGATAATTCTATTGTTAGAGTGGAAAAAAACTCCTCTAATATAAACAGTGTTTTAGAGAAGATATGCTCCGTACCTGTCTTATACAAAACATGAAAGTTATAATTATAAAACTCATCAAGAATGAATATGTTTCATGTCATTAGTTTAGGTTTTCATTAAAAGCACCCTTATGAGTTTGGTTTTGGTTTTTGACTAAACCCTCTCATTCTTTCTATCAAAGCTTCTTTGCACCACTAAGGTAAAGATCCAGCACTTGATTTCATTGTGTCAACACACGTTTTCAGCATAGCACATGTAGTTGCAACATAAAGCCTATCAGGTTCTATAAGCCAAAAAGATGCACGGAGGTAGTGCTGTTTTTCACCACACATATTGTTTTTTTAAAAAGAAATATGTTGAAGAATGGATGAAATCTGTAGTATCTGTAGTAGTAACTAATGTTTCATTTCCTTCCTTCAGTTGCATGTCAGTCCCAGTTGTCATGAGAGCTATTTTCAGGAACGCTGCCAAGGTGAAAGCTGACAGTGAAACACAAGACAAGGAAGTAGACACAAAACAAAAACCTGAGCCACCATGTGAGCAAGTTTTGCATTCTAATAGTCTTGAAGAAAGTCATTCTGTGGCTGGTCAGCAAGATTTGGTGGTGACAGATAAGGCAAGTATTACAGACAGACCAAAAGAAAATCTCTCCACAGCCAAACTGGAAAGTCCGGATGATAACATGGAAAAAAGTAACCCCACAGTCAGCACAGAAAATTTGTGCAGAGTGGAGGAAAGTAATTCCACAGCTAGTACAGAAGCTGTTACAACAGATAAGTAAAACACACAATCTATTGTTTGATGATCAAACAAGAAGGAAATACTTCCCCTGGCGTAGACTGCTTTGCTTTTGCAGAAGCAGTTGGAGAGAACTTGGCAAGCTCACTGTCTACTTAGTAATATGTGAATGGAGTTTCCTCTTTGCACACTATTAAATACACAGAAGTAATACTCTCAAATTTGCATTTTTAAACTTCCAGATTTGGAAAGTCTAACACTGTTCCAGTAACTTTTATTTTTGTCTGCACCATATTCTACCACAGTATGGAAGAAATTTCTGTCTAGCATAAGTGATACAGGCTATGACATAACACATGCACTTGTAGAAAAGTAGTATTTATCCATGTCAGCATTATGCTAAATAAACTGAGAAAAATAAAGTTGTCTCAACAATTTTGTACGTACATAAGGAATGCAGACAGCCTAATTTGTCCACTGTGTCAGAAACAAGTTCAATAAGAGACTCAACCGCAGTTCTGTTTTCCCCTAATGCAGAAGTGGTACTGAATGGCAGCCAAACTTACAGTTTACCAAATTTGTGGCAGGATAATAGAGTCTTTCATAAGAAAGTTGTAAACTCAGTCTCTGAAAACAAAGTAATTTTACCTTAGCTTTTTTTCTGGCCTCAAAGTATAAAACTGTTTTGTGATTTAATTTTTTTTAAGTGGAGTTTAGACCAGCTGTTCAAAATTTCAGTTTGTCTCTGTCTAGACCTGCTCTGTCTCAGTCATAAAGGAAAGTTACAAGCAACTTGAAACAAGTAAACTCCTAACTTACTGCAAATCAGTTTAATTAGTGTAAAACAGAGACAGGCATTCACAAAGAAAAGATGTACTGACCAGAGCAGTTTGCAGCTACAGTTTTAAGGCAAGCAACAGGAATAGGAGTCAAATATAGGATGTTGTCACAGAAACACAAAGTTGTCAGAAATATGCATGTGTGGCTGACAACGTGCCTCCAAGAGAAGGTGAATAAGTCCGGCTTCCTTGAAAAGTTTGGGGAAAAACACTATGGGAATGGGGGAAAGAGAGTTTAGGCTGGAGGGATTGGCAAAATAAATACAAAAATAACACAAGGAAGCTCATTAGACTGGAAAGGTGTTCAGCGTGGTCTAACAGGGTCTAATTATGCTCATGGCAGGGGGGTTGGAACTGGGTGATCTTTAAGGTCCCTTCCAACCCAAAGCATTCTCTGATTCTACGATTAAGATAGTCTAACAGTAAAACAATGGAATTGTCAGTAATTCTGCATTTGAAAAGAATGGTGTGTTTTCAGCAAAAGTGAAATAGACCTGCATAAGGATGACAAAAATAGTTTTTATCTGTTAAACTGCACTACATAGCAGTTACAAAAGATAAGAGGAAGAACTGCACAAAAGGTGAGAAATTCCTGTATTTTACATAGTGACTAGAGAGTCACAGCATTCTAGAAATCAGCAGCAAATCCTGTTCTGTGTTGCACAGAGTTAATGTATCAGCAACAGCAGTTTAATCTGCAAGAATAGCTTGTCCATAGCACTAGGCATTTATTTTTCAGGTATTAGAGGGGACCTATTTAGAAGGGCTATTTAGGGACCTGCTCCATTTCCAAACTGCTGCTGAAAGAGAAAGTGGGGCTGAAATGACAGCTTCTGACACAGAACAGAAGTTTCTGTACTCAACAAACATGTTGAGTAAATCTTTGTAGAGCTTTAGAAGTTATTTTCCCTTTCTGTAAAAGTTATGTTTAAGGCTGAAAGCAAAAGAGTTTTTGCCAGGAGCCAAAGCACAGTGAAGATTTACAGAAATTAATTACCTCTACTGGGAAGTATCCAAATCAAATTTCCCTAAAACAAAGTGATGGATCAGCCTGTACATGGTCCACAAACTGAGAATCAAATCCAGTTGAGATAATTTTAAATACCATGAGATAGAAACACTAATGTGACAGTTGCTGGACATGATGGAGTATATCCAGTGGTAAGCCCAGTTGCTCTACTAGCCAAATAGTCTGCTTTTTAACCCAAGCAAGGGTTGACCTTTCAGTATCCACGCAGACTTTTGCCTTGCTGCACTCAGACTGCAAGGAACCAACCTCACTGTTATTTCTACAAATGTTTTCAGCAGAGCTGCCAACATCTTCGTGTTTTCCAGCTTTAACTTCATGGTACTCTGTCCCAGCTGGAGCTGTGTGATTAAGGTCCATGTCCTGAACAGAATCTAGAATGTGTCCGAGATGTGGCTGTTCGATAGAATTCAGATACTTAAGCACATCTTCTTCATGCTTTCCAATCACCTCGAGAAGATTATTTATCTTACTTAAGGCAGAATCATGTCCATTAAGCTGACACCAGGATAAGAGAGCACTGAAAAGTGAAGAACAACAACAAAAAAGTGATTACTTGTTTCCACACAAACTTCCAGTTGCTGAAGGGACATGGCAATGTGTCAAGATATCTATATGATATAAATGTATATATGTTTCCTTCACATTTTTTCAGAAATTCCAGCAGTAGAACTGAGTATTAAGTTTAAAGATGCAGATTCAGATAATTTTCAAAGAGCAACTGAAAGAGGATTTTTAAAAATGGTCACTCTACACACAAGTGAGCAATTCCCTGTATTCAAGACCTGAGAATTCTTAGATTGCTCACTCTGGACAGATTCACAAGGCACTATTTCTGGGTTGTTTTTTTTAAATTAAAATAAACCAGAAACTGCATGCATGCTTCCTCCATACACACCCTACACACCCACGCGACCTTAAAAAGTTTGTAACTTACTTCAGGGTTCCTCTGAACTGGCCACAGGTAACCATCAGCTCAGCACCGTGTCTATAACCTTGATTGAAGCCTTCCTGGAGTGTGAGTTCTTTCCCAGCCTCAACTCCATCCCTATAGCCTTCCTATAATAGAAGTAATGAAAGAGGTTGTTCACAATGTGAAAAATTTGACCTCTGACAATTTCATAACAAAACAGTTTAAACAAGTATTCCGACTCTTAATTTACAGTTTCGAGGTTTGACTATCCCTCCCAGCTCCACCCCTACTGCCAAACCAAAACATGCTTTTTTGCATTACATTACAATTTACTGATCTGTAAGATCCACTTCATTTCCAAAATGATCCCCAGCAGGTCAGAAAATGAGAAAAGTATTTTTAGAAACATCGAAAAATGAGACAAATCTGTAAAGAAGCATGCTTGCTTTTACGACGACCAACTCCTTTATGAAAAATTCCTTAAAGAACAGCACATATAGATTTCTAGACCTCTAAAAATACATAGGCTGCAAAGCCTCCCTTTTAACAGAGGCACTCTCCTGTCTGTAATCCACCTCTCCGTTACTGAGCCTTGCTTCTCTATTCGCCAGATCTCACTCAATTCAAGAGTTATACCAGAAAAAAGATGGTGATGGAGTGAGTCGCATATAAATACACATAACATTGTGACAGCTTTCTGTAACAAACAGCTAATGATTGTAATGCAAATTAATTTCTTTATATTCTAATCACATTACTATATAGCGTAGAATAATTCTTAATTTTTTTTCACATCAAAATTTCAAGTTGTAAGAGCTGAAAACTTCTATTTGCTCATTAGAGAAGAAAATCGGTGGACTTGCTAGAGAAAGAGCCAGGGACAAAAATGTTTCTTTATTTTGGCCAACGTACAGCTCTAACCTCAATGAGATTTTATGATTTCACAGTATCTACTCATAAAATACCAGAGGGATTTGTGCAAGAAAACTAAACAGCCCCTTAAGAAAACCAGTCTTTTCAAAGGACTCGGCTGCAGGAACTTTTTCCTTGGAGAATAATACAACAGCTCTGTTGTAACACCCTTCCTCATCAACAGCCCACACAACAGCTTCCATTCATTTTCTTCAGCCAAATGTCGTTCACCCGTGAGCAGACGAGTCCCGCTGGCCCCACTCGGAATGAGAACGTATCTGTTGAAGGAACCTGGGTTTATGTGCTTGTTTTGTTCCCTGTGGAATTCCAGGGAGGGAAGGGCTGCCGAAACCTGCTTTTATAAAATGTATTTTTCACTAGGAGAATAAATAAGCCAAAGAACTACTCAGACCGCAACGTCTGATTGTGGTTCCACATGGAGTCACACATCTTAAATCTGGCTGATGAAGAACTCTACTTAAAAAACCAAACATCTCATCTATCTTTATTAGCACTGTTTATCTGTGTTGCTCTACATCTACTAGTGGTGTACCTACAAGTATGAAGTAAATAGCGCACGTCAGAATTTAGCACTGCCTTTTACAAATGCACATTGTTGTCTTTTAGTAAAAAGCTGATGCCTTTTAGTAAAAGAGTTTCTGTAAATCCTTGCTACATACATTTTCCTGACATTCAGAAGAAACTAAGCCACGGTAACTTTTAAGCAGCCACTCTTTGTCTTCCCCTTTAAATCAGCCATATATGTGTATCAAGGTATGATTCAGGAAATCTACAACAGTTAAAAAGACTGCTCAATCATTGTGATAGAAATACCTTCAATCTTTTTTTCATGGTGCTGTTCCATTCTTTCTGCAGTAGATACATCTCATCTGCATCTTCATCAAATATATCCTCACTGGATCGGCTGACTGCAACTTGTACCCAGGACATAACAGCAGGGATTTCTACGACTTCTATTTATGTGGTTGAAAAAATACTGAGAAACTCTCAAAAGTCACTCTGGCTAAGTGTCAGGTTAGAAGTATAGGCAAAAAAATGAGAGTTCTGATGAGAAGTCATGTATGGAGCCGATTATTCACACTGTCCGTTTGCTTCCAGGTGGAAAATGGATGTTGTTCAGCATTGGGGTGCATCTGTCGAGAGAAGACAGACAGTCAGATCATCTCTGGTAAAGCAACTTCTGTAATTTAGGAGGACAACTTAGGACAGCAGTTTCTTCCCTTCTCATGGCAGCGATACACACATGCAGGTCAAATGAGCATTTCTAACGCTGCTAGTACAGGAAGGAGAAGCAGAAACAATCTAATGGCTCGGTTCTGACAGCAGCTGCCAAACAGCCACGCACAGCCTCCGTGCGAGGCATCGTTACACGCACCGGTAATTGCCTGCGGAGTTAATAGTCACCCAGGACGTTCACCTTGGATTTTCGGTTTCCTAGTTATGCCAAATGCTTAACCACCTTCGAAATCTGGACTAGAAATACTCGCTTATATTTGAAATAAAGAATTTGCTAGTTCTACTGCAGAGGGAAGAAGACAGAATTGGATTATTTCATCTTTTTCACAGAATAAAACATGAAAAGGTCACTCATAACTAATTCGCCGCACTGCTGGAAGTTCTCACAACCCACCAACGCTGTTTCCAGCCGAGGCACCGAGGGCTCTGAGGGAACCGAGGGCCGTAAGAGCCACCCCGCGCCCGGCCACGCTGCTCTCCCCGGGACACAACCGGCTGAGCACCTACCGGACC